CGGGAGACAGCCGAGAAATCCCCCGAGGGTAGGGTCACCGAACGGTTCTCCTCAGTTCGCGGCGCAGCCCCGCAGAGGTGCGGGCTGTGCTCCCCGGGACATGGCCCGCTGCCCCGGTCTCCTTTCTCTCCCGTTGCAGTACAGGCTGTGGAGGCATTGGTATCGCCCTTTGGTCCCAATAGCAGTTACGCAGTGCCATTTAGGTAAAGTGGTGCGAATGTTGCCGTCCAAGCAGCGGCAGGCTTGCGTGGGTGTTGCTGGAGGCCGTTTGTAGCGAGTTCTGCCCAGGCACGGCGCTTCTTACCAGTGGCTGCTTGTGTGCTTCTGAGGGGCCCTTCTGCAGGGCTGTGGAGGCATTGGTATCGCCCTTTGGTCCCAATAGCAGTTACGCAGTGCCATTTAGGTAAAGTGGTGCGAATGTTGCCGTCCAAGCAGCGGCAGGCTTGCGTGGGTGTTGCTGGAGGCCGTTTGTAGCGAGTTCTGCCCAGGCACGGCGCTTCTTACCAGTGGCTGCTTGTGTGCTTCTGAGGGGCCCTTCTGCAGTAAATTCATGATTTGCTTCCACGCCCTGGATGAGGGTTGTTTTTTTTGTGTATTCATGTTTTGAGTTGGTTTAAAACTGTTCAGTGGCTTCTTTATACCTGTAGTTTAATTTAAAACCTTGACCTTAAATAGTGGAATGATTAAATGGAGTGAATCCTGTCATGGAAACCACTTGTGCAAGCTAGTAATGAGACGATAGCTGTCTCATGAAAAAGTTGATGAATTATACCAACTTGTACTGGCTGCTTGATATCGCTACAGTAGTTTATTAGTTTTGGGGCAGTCTTCCTGCCTGCCCCTGCTGTGACCTGCTTCCTCATCTTCCTCCCCCAGACAGGAGGAAAGCTGCTTGCACGGTTTCTGTAGTGGTCAGCAAGAGGAGTGGGCTCTGTCCATCACTAACAGAGCACCTGATCAGGGACACTCAATACTGCGTGAGGGTTACCTCTGGTTATCTCCTCGTACTGGAGGAAGAGGGAGTCCAAATGCCATCTTGATTTGTGGTCTCTGCTGTGAACTGAAGTTCTCCAGAGGGAGCCTTTCTCTCTCCCTGCATACCTGAAGAGAGGTGAGATGAGTAGGGGGCTACTAAGAAAGACCCAAAAGAGAATATTCACACACGCCTTTCCTGGAGGCTTAATAGTATTTTGGTACTCTCTGAAAATATGAAAATTTTATTTTCAATGGGAGAATTAAAAAAAAAAATCAGTATTTTACAGACATTTGGTGGCAGATCTGATCTGTAGAATTTTGTTATTTCAGAAAAATGCTATGACATTCTTTGGATTTTCCCTTTGAGCTGCTTGTATTCCTTAGAACCACCTTTGGTTTATTTTTTTTCTTTGTGAGAAGCAGTAGCTGAAGAGTCCCAAGTTCCAGAAGGAATCGCTAAAGTACACTTGCTGCATTGCTTTACTTTTGTGATAATTCTAGCTTTTGTCTGAGCTTTACTTTCTTAATTCTCTTCTACATAGTGCCCAGAACTCTTCTTCACTCTTAGTTTTTGTTTCATCATTTCTTTGGAAGGTGAACTCCATTAAATTGGCAGTGTAAATCCATGGTTATTCTCTCTGTTTCCGCCTGTACTACTCATCTGCAAATGTATTATCACACAGAAGGATACACATGCACACTTTCTCAGGCCAACTTTAAGCTGTGGAAAAACACCCGTCCCAGTGCATTGTAGCTGTGGCATGTACAGATTATTCAGCTAACACTAAAAATGTTACCTCTTAAATTTAGTGTTGAAAATGTGAGTTAGTAAATAGAACAATAAATTGTAATACTTTTACTATTTTAAAATAACCTTTCTTCTTTGTGTCAACCTATTGAGCAATTGCGTTTTTTTATTAACAACACCATACAAGAGTAACTATTCAGTCTTCTTTCCTAAAATTATACTAGAATTTTTTTGTGTTCAAATAAACACTTCAAAGGCTCAAATACAAATTAGTATTAGAGAAAATAAATACAACTTACCTTCTTCTAATTTTTTGCACATTGAAAATGGAAAAGAGTCTAGTTTTGTCACACTCAGAAGTGTTTGCAGCTTCAGGTTAGGGTAACGTTTGTATTTTAAATAATTTGGGAATTTCTGAATTACTACTGTGATGCTGCTGTCCCAAAGCATTTCATTCAGTATTTAGTTTAGGGCTTGAGTTAGTTAAGTGTTTTAAGATGCTAGAAATACCCTCTTGCGTGTTTATGCTGCGACTTTCTCGGTGACATTACTAATTTCTCATTGCATGAATGGAGTGTTTTCTTATTAAGGTGGATCACAAGATGTAATACCGAATTTTCTTCTCTTTTCCTATATATTTTTAAATGTGTACTGACCGTGTGCCTTTTTGCAAGGACCAGTTCACTGAAGGCTGGTTTGCTGTAAATGGTATTTCTGCTGGGACAGAGTGTAATGCTGATAGCCTAACCTTGCACAGTTTTGTCTGGGAGATGGCATTGGTTTCCTTAGCAGCTCCATTAATGATTGGGACAGGTCTCAGGGAGTTTGGTTCTTCCCCATTCCCCAGTAAAGAAGAATGTTTCATTGACTACAGTGGTAAAGGATGAAAGCCTTGAAGTTGCTACTGAAGCTTTTGAGTTTGTAAATATATACACATGTAATCTCAAAATCGCATGGATTTGTTAGGGCTAAACTCCTTATGCATGAAGTGCAGTACATATATGAATCTGAAACCCAAATCCTGCTGGGAGTCTGTAATTAGTTGGTAATGGTTTTCCACATGCTATAGTAAAAATCACAGACAGAAGAATAACTAACTTTCAAAATAACAGAAATCATGATTAAAATATTTTTTTTCAGTAGTTCTCTAGTTGGAATGAAAAGTCTAAAAATAGCTCAGGTGCTTTCATAGTCTAGCATTTATGTGAAGGTCCATGTGTTTTAGTATAACACAATCTAATCATTCTTAGATTCAGTTTATAATAAGGCAGTTATGGTTGTTACCTCCACTGTTACAACAAAATCTAATCTTACATAACAGTCCTGTATACAGAAAGGAGAAAAAACTGACTTTCCTCTTTCTTTCTTTCAGTTTTTCAGCCAGGGGCCAAATGTACTGCATCAAGACAGCAGTGGACCACAAGCTGCATTCTTTTCACCTCTTCAAAAAGTGATGTTGCCACCAAATACATTTCAAGGGAAAGTGGCCTTTATAACTGGTGGAGGTACTGGGATTGGCAAAGGGATGACAACAACTTTGTCCAGTTTAGGTGCCAAGTGTGTTATAGCAAGCCGGTAAATATTAATGAAAGGACTTTAGAGCTTTCATTTAATACTGAATGCTGAATAGATCTGTTTTCTTCTTCATAATGGATATTGCTTTCTTCTTCATAAGCTGGATAAATTTATTCTATTTATTCTGTTTCAGTACACTTTTAAATTATAATGTCATATTGTAAATAACCAGAAGCATGCAGATTCATCTACAAATGTCTAATGGTGTAACCAGCAGTAGGAAGAAATAAACTAAGCGCATGTCCGTGAAATGTGTCAGCAAAATAAACGGCCCAGAATGTGAGACATAAATTCAACTAAAGCCTAAAAGAGAACAAAAAATTGACGTGGCCATTAGTGAACATTTTGAATGTTTTATTGCAGGTATTCTCCATACAGATTTGAATTGCAGTAAAGAATTAAAGCCATTCCTCTTAATTCTTATGACTTTAAAAACAGCCCTGATTTTCCCTTAATGAAGATGATCTTCCTACAGTTCTCTTAAGAACCACTACAGTAAAGACTAGAAAAACAATCTAATTTTTAGTTAAAATAAACAAAAGTGTTGTGACATTCGTCCAAACAGTGATTAAGTTATTTGGTTTTAAATCTGAATATGTATGTCCCTTCTAAAATACTAGTAGAGTAGTAGCTGAAACTAAGTTTGTTATGATTATGTACTCAGAATGAAAATATTTTTTCTAGCTTAACACCTTTGATTAGCTTAAGGTAGTCTCTTGCTATAGTCATGTCTGAGTTGCTTTGAAGTAGCTCTAACCAGAAATTACTTAAAGTTTCCTTTCAAAAAGTTAGTGACTAAACTAACTAAAAGCTCAGTTTTCATGAAAATCAGCAATGTGCATGTGCGCACACATATATTTTAAGTTTTAGCTTATATTTGCTCCGAAAAAATCAGATTTTATTAATCTGAATTGTAATTGCATTTAATTGAAATTTAGTGATGTATACGTATTTCTAGGAATCTTGAAGTTTTGAAAGGAGCAGCAGAAGAAATTTCTTCTAAAACGGGCAATAAGGTAAATTTTTACAGAATTGTGAATATCTTAGTAGTTACACTTTAAATGGTTATAGGATTTATGTGCTTCTGTGGGCTTGTTTAATTTGAGTGATACAGTTTTGAAGTCTTACAACTGCCTTTCCATTATTATATAGGTTCATGCCGTCCAGTGTGATGTAAGAGATCCAGTTTCAGTTAAGAATGCTGTTGCCGAAATAATCCAAGTGGCAGGACATCCTGATGTAAGTGTTCCAGTGAAAGGAAAGAACTTTAGTCTGCATTACTGAAAATAACTGCATAGTAGATATGAGAAAAATTACTATCAGAGAAAGTTAATGGAGTCTAAAGAGACACTAGACAAAAAGTGGCAGTACTTCAAGATAAAGCTAACATTCACAGTTAGACTGGTTACTCTGTTCCTGTGGTTCTCAAAATACTTAGTGGCCAAATAGATAAAACATAGTTGTCCTTATTCTATGGACTAACATTTTCTTTGTAAACAGTGGGACAATTATGATGGGATTGTTTGAATTAAGTGGACAGAATATTGCTCTTAAATCCTCCTGAAGAGGTGACTTATCTGTGTTGGTACCAAATTACACATATTGCTTATTAACAGAAGGTCTCACAAATTAGAAATGGAAATAATCATCTTCTTTAGTCCTTGCTTAGCTTATTAAAATATACAAAGAAGGTTCCAACTTGAAGACTAAGTTCTCATGAAATCAAGAAAAAATATCTTCAGTCAAGCTAAGCATCGTTTTTTTAATAGTTTGGCAGAAAACACAGAACTCTTTCCTTCAGACTGTTGCTTTGAGAAGGGTGTTCTGGTGGACTGTGAACAATGATAGGCACCAAATTCTGATTTGATTGTGAAAGAAGTAACTCAGATTCTGCTGTCTGATAGAAAGTCTGATGAGGCTGTTAGCATCGGTGTAAAGGATAGTCAGATTTAAAACTGTTTACTGTAGATGTAAAACTGTCATGTGTGTATTGTAGACACTGTGCGTTCACCAGTAGCTTCCTATAGACAAGAGAACCTACTGAATTCTAAATGTGCTAAGTAGAGAAACTATTTCTCACACTGTATGCTATAACAGTGCTATAAAATAGGGCAGCTCATTGTCCTGATTGGGGGACAACATACTCTGGGTGTTATTTTGACTACTGGTTACTGCAGTTCGTGACCAAAGCACATCATGATCTCCAGGTTTTAAGTGCATGCAGAGAGGGAGGAGACTTCTTCCTGTATATTATGTTTTTAGTACACCAGTAATTTTCTGAATAAATACTTCCTGTTACTTGTTCTTTACAAACATGTACTTGCCCTTTAATTTCATATTCTGCATGTTTGAGAGAGGGTTCAGAGTAAATGGAATATTCAGTTCTTTTTGTTTAGTTTTTCTCTTAGTGACAGACATGAAATGTACATTTATGAATACTGCAAACCTAGGTATCACTGCCACTGTGCATGTGAGGTGTGATCTCAAAGACAGAAGTTAATAGCAGTATCATATTCCTTCTATCTTTGTTTTGTTCATTGTGTCCAAGACCGTTACTCCCAATTAGAAAGCAGTCATTCTTTTGTCATATGGATTGTTTGGCCGTCATATATATCTACATAACTCAAGGATTGTGTCATGCAGTCCTTAGCTCACTAGTTTTATTATTGTGTCTTTGCTATATTTATTCAGTGATTCAAGTAACCTCCTCAGTATCTTGAGGTGTTTGGATTTTATTTTTCCTTTCTTCAAACTCTAGGAAGACCTTTAAATTGTATTTGCCATCTATAGGTATAATTTATGGCTGTTGTATTTTATTTGTTTTCTATTCATGCAATATGTGCTGTGCTCTGTTTTGCTATTGAAAATTCTAATGTCTTAATTTAGCCCAGAAGTTCTTCAGGACAAAGACTTTGTTTTATGTGCAAACCTACCTGAATCTAGGTGCCATTCCATAAGTAATACACCATTTTATTGCTTCAGCACATTATATTATTATTAAATACACAAGATCAGGATGCATAAGTTTTGGTTTAAAAACTGCTTACATGATCCTTAGTCTTTTTTTTTTTTTTTTTTAATCTAACTTCCTAACTTGAAAGGCTAAGCAGATGATACATTGAAAAGTGTCCTCTGCCTCATTATGGTTTGTAGAAAGGCAACAAGTGACAGATATACATCTATTAGAAAAGAGGTTTGTACTGGTTGCCTGCAGTTCGCTAAATCATAATACTCTCTTTGTCACAACTGATTAGTTCTAATATTAACGACTTCCTGTTACGCAGCAGTCAACTAGTCCAAACTTTAGTCATCAGGTTACCTGACCTTCTTTTGTTTTTATACCCATGCATCCATTACATTGAAAATGATATATTCCCTTGGAACTTCGTGGGGACAAACTTTTCTGTTAGGATGTGCTTGAGACACTGTGGAACAGAGCAATGTAAGTCACCCTCTACATTTACAGTTCCTCAGTGCTAGACTAGTAACTACAGCAGTTTGGAAATACAGATAATTTTCTGTTACTGATACGTATCTATGCTGCAGATGTTAAAATTTCTGATGCATTATTTTCTCTCTCTCTCCCTCCCTCCACCCCCCTTTGATAAGGATATTTTTACTTTTCTACCTGGAAACAAAACACTAAGAAGTTCCTTGTAAGTTCTTTGCTTTTCTCTCAGGAGGAGTTATTCTTAGTTAACTCTTAGGTTTTCCTTCATGTGTTTCAGGTTGTGATAAACAATGCAGCTGGAAACTTTATTTCCCCTTCTGAACGACTTTCTGCTAATGCATGGAAGACGATAACTGATATTGTGCTTAACGGTACTGCTTTTGTAACTCTGGAAATCGGAAAGGAGCTCATTAAAGTACAGAAAGGTACCTTAAGATAAATGGTAACTAAGCATTCTGACAGAATATTATACTTGCTTTCTTTGCCTTACTGTTATTATGGCCAGTTTTGAGAGTTTGAAAAGAAACACAATTTTTAATATTCTACATCTTTTCTTCATTTTCAGTAAAGCCATACTTCAATATCGAGAAGTAGAACTGGCTAGCAATTACTTCATGGTAGAATCTACCCTTAAAATTGAACCCAGAGGCCACAAGGTTGAATATAAAAAACTGATTGCAGAGTCTGTACTAGTTGTAAAACGTTTTTAAAGTTTAAAAAATAAGGCTTTGTTTAAAACATATGCTGTTATTTCTTTTGAGCCTTCTGTATTTATGTTGGTTTCATTGAGCAACTGAACATGTGGCATTTATTTAAACGAACAGTAGGTCAGGATATCACTTTGAATTTTCCTCCTACACTTAAATCAATAAAATTCAGTGCTGTGGTATTTGACTAATAGCACTAGAGAATATTACCTTTGAGATAATTTGAAAAATTGACATCAGAATTAGGTTTTATTTTCCCGGGTATAACTCTTAGTTCTAGACTACCTAGGAGTTTAATCCACTATTTTAGCTTTACCTTAAAAATAGGATAATTCTTTGATACACTGTTTAGCCAAAGATTTACTTAACCAGATTACTGTCTTTAAGGGAAAGATAATGTATGCCCTTCTGTGTTATATCATAGAGCATTTACAAAGAACTGCTATCATTTTGTATTATCTTCTAGCTATGAATTGAGAAACATTGAGCTAATTTTTCATCAGAATGACATAGTCTCAAATAACATTTAAAAGCAGTGAAGTATATTATAGTTTTCCATGTGCCCTTATTTCTGAATCCCTTTTTTTAGGTACAGCCATTGTGTTGAAATAATCCTTTTGTATTTGCACTGTATTTCTCTAACTCGTGATTTAGCTGAATTTCTTCAAAACTCCTCCCCAAAAAGTACTCAGTGAGTTTATACTATTTAATGATGACAATAGAAAGTTAATGTTGTTTTGATAAGTCTGTGACAGTTTTGGTCAGTTGACGAGGTATTTCCCACATATATTTTAGCGGCACATAAAAAAATCGTTTTGTCCTTTCTAGTGCTAATGTTCTTACATTAAAAACCCATCCCCAACTCTGACTTCCTATATCATTATAGCAAACTATTGTGATAATTTGCTTTATGGCCTTCCAGATGCATGCACTGTCTTCCTGTATTAATGTGAAATACAGCTTTAAAATTACCTTTGTCTCTGCTGCTGTTGAATGGAAAAACTACTTTCCTTGCTTCCACTCTCAAATTCAGCAAAATCCAGAAGTGATTCACCCTCATGTTGTCTCTCTCCCTTTCACTTCTAACGTTTGAAAACGCATGATTTATTTTGCTATTATTTGCATGCCTTCTTTCTAGGGGATTCTGTCTGTAAGTAAGACACTGTATTTAAGTCTTTCTTTAAGACAGGTTTTTGCAAGTGAATCAAGTATACCTGTTTGTCCTCTCATTCTGCACCTTAATTTTCTTTTTCCTTGCTTGTTTTTTTTAAGTTTGAGCAGAGACCTTAGTTTCTGAAGTGATGGAGATGCTACCCAATGCAAATACTTTAAAACAGTCTATGAGGATTCTATACATCTGACAGTTACTAGAGCACTGGCGCATCCTTTGGGTCTGCAACATGACCTACGTTAAACCTAATTTAGTAAATAATAAAAGTGCTCTGCTTTTAGACTCTTGAGTTTATACTGGTATTTAGAAGGGGTTTGTAATCTACTAGTGCATTATTTATACACTAAAATTTTACAAAATGAGAGGACTTAATTGGTTAGATATTGTCCATTTTATGAACATAGGCTTTAGAATAAAAATTGTGTATGAACTGAAGTGTACCTTAAACTTCAGAGCTGTAAATTTGTCGTTTTTGCTTCTGTGTTAAGTTTACACAACTCATCTCTATTTAACCTATATGTTAAAAATTCTGTGGTTTGATTCTCCAAAATGTATAATTAACAATCAACTCTAGGTGACTTCGGGGTTGTTCTGGTTTTTTTGCCTGTGTTGATTTTTCTTTTCAAAGTCTCTCACTGTAGACTGCTTTTTTATAAATAGGGTCCATGGTTTCTGGATATCTGCTGGCATTTCTGTCAGTGCTTGTTTATGGTTCTCTTTAGTTTCTCTTGTGTAACATTACTGTAATTTTTTAACTGAGTCTCTACTTCATTGCCACATACATTCTCTCAGTCACATATATTGTTTTAGAAATATCCCTTGGGTAGCTATTCTAATTAAATTATTTTTAAAATACAGTAAATAGAACAGTTATTTTAGTTACTGTGGCATAAACTGTCACCCCTTGTCCTCCATTTTCCAGTTACAGTAAGTTCATGCTAGTCATTGCTCAGACAATTAGAATTTGCAGGCTTCTATAAAAGATTAAATAGTTGCAGTTTCCATTATTTTCCATAATGTTTTTGCTAAATCTGTTATAAAATATAACATATAAAAGAAAATGGTCTTTTTATAATAACAGTTTGTCGTGATAATAACGGGAAAAAGTTATGCAGGTTAACTTTGTCATAAGCTCTACTGCAGAAAAAGCTTCTGAAAATTTCTTAAAAAACCACTTTTTTTCTGCATAAACTTTACCTCAAACCCTAAACTGTGTCATTTTAAGATTATGCCAAACCTAAGTACTAATGCAGATTTCCCCCCCCCCCCCCCCCCCACCCCAGTGAGGAATTGGTGAAATTAGGAAAAATTACCTGGTTAGTGACTACTAGGCTAGGGCATCTTCTAAAAGGACATTGTAAGATCTTAGGCCTTCATGCCAGTTAGACTGATTTGCACATGTAAATTAATTATCAATGGAAGTCTGAGGGTTTAGACCTTTGGAGCCTAATCAATAGCTATTTGCACTTACATGGAACAACTCGTAACATTCATGGAGAAGAGGGAATTGAAATAAAAAGGCTTGAAAGCAAAGCTTCCAAGACTGGATTTTCAAAATATCTTCTTACAACCCACAGTGAAATGGCATCCCTAATACTTGAGCTGCAAACTTCTGTACCACTGAGGTTGCTTTTTACCTTAAGTTCAGATTTTGATCTTCATGCATATTTTGTTTGTTTGATGTGTTGGATTTTTTAAAAATGTTTTTGCAACTTCCAGGAGCAGCATTCCTGGCTATTACAACAATTTATACAGAGAGTGGTTCAGGATTTGTGGTGCCAAGTGCCTCTGCCAAAGCTGGTGTAGAAGCAATGAGCAAGTGAGTAATGTAGGAGAATGTGCGTTCTGCTTTTCACATCCCTGAGGTGGGGTAATTGGTCTGTAAAAATGGAGCTAGTTGGTATAGTCCTCCTGTTTCATTGTACCACGAGAACCTTCCAGCCTCCAGTATCCTAGCAAGAAAATAGTATGCTGACAGATTCTTGCAGAAGGAAGTATTAACTGCTATTATTGTGATGATTTTTATCACGAGGATGAGATAAAGACAAGTGGAACTACTTCTTCTGGCAATAGCAAGTTCTAAAGTTTCAGTTAGAGTTTTGATAATCAGGTTCTCTTGCATTCTCATAGGCGAACCAGCACTTAAAGACAGGGACCTGTTTGAGGACTATAGTGCCTTCCATGTCATAGGCGAACCAGCACTTAAAGACCTGTTTGAGGACTATAGTGCCTTCCATTTTCTTTTGTCTCAGGAAGATACGTGCTTGTATTTGAGTGGAGTATACTGTTGCTTCACCTATCTAGTTTTATAAAGAAATGTGTTTCCTATCACTACTTTAAATTAAGGTCTGCGCTTATACTTAGTTCAGAACAGTATCATGTGACATACCCATGTTACTCAGCAAACAAAAGGATTTCTGTCATGATTAACTGTAATGCAGTCCTTCATAGCAAATAGATCCTCCTCTGCACTTCAACAAAAGGAATTGAATAGTTTGGCAGCCTTTTAGTAACTAGAATTTTTTATCCAGAAAAAAATGAGGGTATGAGTGCTAGTCTTGATTTCTGTTCTATAGAGCTGTAACGGAAGTGTGTACTTCTCAGAGACTTTATGACCCAGCTAATTCGTTCACCATCGTAGATGATCTATGTGAACTACTTCTTATGCAAAGAAAATGTTGCCGTAAAGCAAAATTATTCTACTGGTCTCATTTTAGAATGTAACCTCTGGTTTGTGTTATTTCAAAACGTCTAATGTGAAAGTTGTGTTGAAATGTTAGAAGTGTGTACTTGTGGGATAGTCTAAATTACCAGAGAAGGACGGTGGCCTGACAGTTCTTTGTCAAGGAGTTTAGGTGCCGAAATCATCTGTATGATTTGCAAGGGAGGAAGAATGGTCCTTAATGTTGCTTTATCTATGATGCATCTATTAAATCAATATTCCTCCGTTTATGAATGTGATTTTTTTTCTCTGAAATCTTTTTGTTAAGAACAGACTCCTTAAGTAGAAATGCCAGTTTCAGGAAATTTCTAGTATTTACATGTTTGATTCAGTTTTAAATAACTTTCTTTTTTTGCTGAACAGCGTTATGAAAATACTGTGTTTAGAATATTGATGCATTCTGTTAATGATTTTTTAGGTCTCTTGCAGCTGAATGGGGTAAATACGGCATGAGATTCAATGTGATTCAACCAGGTCCAATAAAAACAAAGGTACGTAGCATGAAGTGAAACACAGCCTTGAATATCCTTTGTAGTACAGACTTAACTTTAAGATAGTCTAACCTTTTCTGTAACTGTTAAATTCAAGTATGATTTCCTTGGTAGTTAAGAGTGTGCTGGAATATTGAACACACTACCTCCCAGTTCTTTTGTAAAATAGGATTTCTTGAACTTCTGAAACCTGCCACTGCCTCTTCTACTACACTAAGATAAATTAAACCTTTTTTTAATGTTTCAAAGAAGTGATACATCAAAATATTTAATGTTCAGTCTTATCAACTGTACATACCTAGTTTGTTAAACGAAGTGAATTCTTACAGTGGAGTGGAGTAAAAGTGCCTATTTATGTCTGAACTCCTAATTTTTAAACAAAACATCTCATCAATTCAAAAATTTCAGTGTCTCTTTTAGGTATATAGGAACAGAATCTCACTAGTTTTGTTGAAAATGACAAAACTAGAAAGAGAAAAACTAAATCAGCAAGGAAGTGTGAGGCTTTGATATAAGCGAAAAGGAGGACTGGAGGGTTTGGAGGAAGTAATCCAGACCGGCTGGAACAGGAAGAAAAAAGAAAGCAGTCCTGCAGGAGGAGAGAGGAGCATCCATTTCACATTGAATCAAAATATTACAATTATGAGCAGCAACAGTCACTAATGGTATTACTACTACCTGTAAAATGTTTCATAGTTGGTTTTGCTGTTGTTTTGGGGGTAGGGAGTGCAGAGTTGCTTCTTCCACCCCTCCTTTTATTCCCCCCCCCGCCTTGTTTCCTCTTGTCAATATTAGATACTACACTGGACAGCTCAGTTTTACCTTTTTTTGGCTATAAAGAAAGATAAATGGCAGTATCAGCAGGGTTACAAGAATGTTGAAACACCTTTATAGGATCAGACCAAAAGTCCTGCAGGCCTTGTATGTGGTGGATTTTTAGGCAAGAGTAGAAGAAAAACATTTAATGACATTTCTTCTTTATGTCTGCAGCCTCTGGCAGTCTGTGGCCCAGGGAGTTTGATACAGTTGATATCTCCTCTTCATATTGTAATCATCTTAATGGATTTTTTTCTTCCATTAGTTTGTCCTGTTCCTTTTTGATTCCATATAAACTTTTGACATTCACTAGATCGCATAGCAAGATCACTTTGATTCATAGATTCTCATAAGTTTTGGCAAGTTAATGGCTTTAAATGTCAGTATTGCTATCTCCTGTTAATGTTTCTGATTTAAACTAATAGTGTATATGCCACTGGAGATGCTCTGTATTCTTAAAAAAATACTACGTTTGTCATGCTGGTTCCAAGTTAAAATTTCCCTGAAAGCATAAAAAGGCAGACTGGGTTTACTTAAAACAGCATATTGCAAAATCAAGGCTTTCTGCCTTAGGGGCTACATCCATATCTTTAAAAAACCACCATTGTAAGTCATGATAGGAAAACAAAAAAAAACATAGAAGCACAATACCATTACACTTATAGACTGACATTTAAAAACATGGCAATAGAAGACTTAAATGATGTGAGTACAGCCATGATTACATAAATTACAGTGTGCTTTAACTCATAACTTCAGTAACTTAACATAAATGTTACTAATACATTTCTGATTTTGCCTGAGGAGGTTGTTTCCTTGTGGAGGAGCCAGGAAGAACAAAAACCCTCTTCTATTTCCCATGCTATTCTAAGCTATTCAAATACTAAAGCTTCCAGTGACTTAGTTTAGATCCTGCCATTGCTGCAATTTAAGTGAACTTTATTTTTTTGGTTCTTTTCAGTTTTACTTTGGCACATATAATTTATTTATTTCACTTTCCTGCTCCTCCTTTCCCCTTGTTCCTCTCTCCTGTCCATGCAGCAATTTGGAGTCTTGCCTGTTTCCTCAAACATTTATCAAGGGTGTTTGGGAAACAAAGATTATTAACCCCTTTTGTTTTTCGTAGGTAGATGGTGGTGACTGTCCCAAACGTGTTAAATTCCAGCTTACCATCCTCAGTAGATGCATGTCAGTGCAACAGGGATAAATTATTTTCTATTTCCTACTTTCTTTTAATCCTACTGACAAAGAGAGTGTAGACAGTTTACTCACAAATGTTAACTTCCATATTGTTTATGCGGAGTCAAATCTCTGTTGGATTTTAATTTCCTGTAGTTATAATGTAGTTATAACTTTTTTTTCCAAATGTTTCTCTTCATTCTCAGGGTGCTTTTAGCCGCATTGACCCAACAGGCTCATTTGAGAAGAAAATCATTGAGAGAATTCCTTGTGGTCGTCTGGGAACTGTAGAAGAAATTGCAAATCTTGCTGCCTATTTATGCAGTGACTATGCAAGCTGGGTTAATGGAGCAGTGAGTTTTGGTTGATCTTGTTTATCCAATTAACCTGACGTTGGTATGAGTTTTGCTGATACTTTTTAAAGCCCTGGTTTCAGAAATGAAAGAAAAACTGTTACTTTGAAATTCTTTACAAGCATTATTAACCTTTTAATTGTAATGCATGGTAGTTAGTACCTTTAAAGAGAACTTCTAAAAATGATTGAATTACATTATTTTGAGCATGAGGTTTTCTGATCCAAATCAATAAAAAATTACTTTCAGAGTTCGTAACACGGGAATGCTACAGAAAAACTCACTGTTACTAAATACACTGCTTATGCTTTTTCTAGGTTATTAGAATGGATGGTGGAGAATATGTTTCTATAGCAGGAGAATTCAATGATTTGAAGAAGGTATTGAATTCCTTACTTGCCATTTTGCATTCAAACAAATACTTAGATGTGTAATTATATGGAATTCCAATAAAACACTCTTTTCTTTTATTAGGTTACCAAAGAGCAGTGGGATATGATTGAAGCAATGATTAGAAAAACAAAAGGATCTTAAAGTACATAACTGTATGGTGAAGATTTTTGGAAATGAACCACTACTTTTTCATGAGTATTATTTCATGAGAAATTACAAATTGAGAAATAACCTTCAAAATAATCTTGTATGCTAATTACAATAAAATATTTTGAAATTGTCATATTTTGCATATAGCATGTATATTTTTACCATTTACAGTCTAATCTGTTGCCAATAGTGAACAACAGTTGCTCACTGAAATTTTATTGTCCTTTAGATTATGTCTTCTACAGCCATGCCACGGTCTACAATTAGCCTTTTTTTTTTTTTAATATTTCAGATATATGCAAGTGTCTCTTAATATTGTAATTCCACTAGCATTTCAGGACTATCATAACTGAATATAATTGTTAGTCTGAGGAAGAAACTAAGAAATTAAGTCCTAATCTTCACACTTCAGTAAGAAGTCCTAAACTTGCAAATAACAAATGTTTCAAGTTATCAGCAGGACTACGTACACTGAGATAGGATATAACTCCTGTGGTAACTTAAAAAATCTGGAAATACGTAACCATCTTGGTCTCATCTTTTGCTGACATTTTCAGTCTGTTAATTATCTTATGCTGAACTTTAAAAATGGTATTTAAGGACTAGCAATGCCTGTCTGAGGAGCTCACTCTTTGTCATGATTAAGTTAATGTTCTTGAAAATGAGAAACTAAAAATCATTTGCTATTAATGTGTGTGTGACTAGGGCAGTCTCTCCATAAGAAATGGTTTACTTAAGACTAGTAAAGGACATCAGTAAATGAGGACTGAAAGTGTTGAAGTCTCATCGGTTGAGATGTACAGAAATCCCTAGGTTTCATTTGCATTCACAGGCTGGTACTAAAGAAGCTTTAAGATGGCATTACCTCTGAGTCTAGTCAGTTTATCCATCCCAAATAAGCAGGTAATTTAAAAAAACAAAACCAAAACAAACAAAGCCAAACAGTGTTTATTGCTGTCCCTCTTCCAGTTTTATTACATTTTCCACATTAGGGAGTTGCCAGTTGTTCGACCCCTCTGCTTCAAACAGTGGATGGAATTCTTCCAAGAAATTAACAGATTCTGGCCTTTATAGCCTCAAATCCATGTCTTTTTTTATTGTTTAACCCAAGCTCCAGACTGTCCACACATACAAGCATGGACATAGCTGTATTTACTTTGAAATTGATACAGTGATTTAAGAGTCCAAATACAGAATTACTTCAAGGATATCTTCCTTCAAGTGCTGGCAGAGGTCTTGTAACTTTATCCACACTTAGGCCATACTTATATATGCCAGCATCTGACTTTGAAATTGCCTTAATACAAAACTGAAGCAAGCTCATATATGTTCCACTGAAAGGGTGGACTACATTAGTGCAGGCTTCCATGTACCAGCTTTCTCCTGAGAGGGATGGTCCTGTGAGGGATTGAATAGCATCTATGCCACTGATAATAAAACAAAGCAAGTGTGTTTATTGTGGCAGCCTTAGAGGTGTCTCTTGAACATAATGTAAAACTTTATTACAGCATCTTGGATTTTGGAAGGTCTACAGTCAAGATCAAATTCTGACATGATATCCGTATCTTCTCCACAAAAAGTGGTTTAATTGAGAAGTTAGGCCCATGTATACTGTTCTTTGCTCATTGTCCTTTGCATATACTTAACATTTTCTCTTCGTATGGGACACAGTTACGTATAAGGCTTGGACACTGGAAAAAAAGTGTTTCAAAAAAAAAATCCAAGGTATGTTCGTGAGCTGTGGTACAATCAAGTATTTCTCTGTGGTATTTAGTGGGGTATCCTCTGGAGATGGGCTGTCAATAAAAATAAGTTCCTGATGGTCTCTCGCATCCATGGGCGTGTAGGACTTTTACTACAGGAAGGTTTATCATGGGTTGAAGTACTGGAGATTAAAGATAACCATATTTGGTCTACAACATTGTCACAGACTTTGTGTGACCTTAAGTTATTTCTGTTGCATCTGAACAGCAGGGCAGGTGCCCTTCGCAGTGTTCCCTCAGGAACTGGGCATCTGAAGCAGGGAGACTGGCACGTTCCTTTTAGCTCACAAACACAGGTCCTGGGTGAGGCACAGGTGGAAAAGAGCAAGAAAAGAGGCACATGCCCAGTCTCAACATTAAGTTAGGATCAAGTCTATACTTGACTTTGGGGGCTAGGAAGCACTGCTGGCTGCTGTATGTTCGTAATCTATCTCTCTTCCATGCATGTAATATAATAGTAACAATACTTCTTTTTTTTTTTCAATCTTGCATACTTTTTTTATAGGCCTGCATACTGTTTAATCTATTTTTTAGATGTTGAAAGCAGAGGCATTTTTTTGGTGGAGGTAGGGTGAGATGGAAAAGGAAGGACAGAGGAGAAAAGGGGGATAAGCCTAGCCCAGCTACAGGTATTTTTTTCCAAATATTTCAGCAATAGGTACTGCGGTGCTTAGATGTAATGCTTACTGACATAGTAAATGCCAGAAATCCATAAAGTGGCTTTAAACACACAGACCCGCTATTCTTTGGCTCAACCACCACTATAATATTGCTTTGTCTATGTATGTCATTTGTTTAGAAAGTAAACTTTTCAGAGATCAGTTCAGAAATATTTCTCTTCCACAGCAAAAGGCAGTGGGTTCCTGTACAAAAGTACTTAAAGCATTTCAAGTGCTTTTGCAGTTTAAAATGAATACTGCTTCTTGACCTAAAATTAAAAATTGAAAAGATCTTTGTCTTCATTGCTTTACTCATCAGAGAGATTGAGGCCAACTTTGCATCTAGGAGAAACTTCCTTTAATTCATAGTGAACCTTTCAGGGACTGAAGCTGTTTTCTGAACCATCAGAGTTACTGGAACATGTGCTTTTAGGGTGGGGGTTTTTGCCTTGTTTGATAAGGTCTGAATATTGAAGGGAGGCCTCTGAAAGCCTGTCTCGTAAGTAGATACTGGGTATTTATTAAATAGCAGAACATTTATCACTTGCAGAAATGGGTATTGCTTCTGAAATACCACCACCTACCTGGTTACTGCCCAGAGCTAAATGAATTATTAATTATAAAGTGACAACAAAACATTTTCAAAGCATATGTTATTCAGTGATAGAACCAGAAAGCACATTTTAAATTTTAATGAGCACCTATAACAAGAATAGGGTCTATTTTATCTTACCTGTAACAGTAACATCCATTTCAAACTATGCAAGTTAGTTGCTTTTAGATTGTGAACATCCTGCCTTGGCAAGATGTATACAATGTGTTGATGCAGGTTTTAGAAATGGTATGTAATGTTTTAAAGAGTTACATGTTACTGGATAGTTTATAAAATATTTCCTGATATATAGACTTAACTAAGTGAAAAAACTTGACTCTGATCTAGCCGTCCAGTTCTGCAGGAGAATGAAATAGCCTGGCTTGGATTAATTTCCTTCATTAAAAGAGTTGTTAGACTGGTTCGGGACAGGAGAGGAACATTTCTATGAAGAGATGAATCTTGAACATCTCAAGTTTATGTTTTACCTAAATACAAGTTAATTGTCTGTTACTAAAGTAGCAACACATGACATCTGAACTCAGGAAAAGGACAAGAGAAAGTAGCTTTATAGTGACTACCTAACTCAAGTGGGGTCTGACTTGGCTTGGAAATTCCGAAAGAACCCGTTCCTAAATGCCCATGAGAATGACACTGTCCTGAAAGAGGCATAAAATATCCCTAAATCCAAAGAGGTGCTCAATCCATAAGCATGCTCTGCAGCTGTGTATTGCGCACACTTACCACAGACTGACAAAGCGTAGTCGTCACAGCCACTTTATTCCAAACATAGCAAAAGTAGTGTCCATGTTAAGGATGCTGTCTTAACTGACATATTTGCCTTGAGAGTGTTACATTCCTGACCCTACCTCAGGTTGCTGGTGAGCCACAATGTAAAGGGGGGTATGGGAAAGTACTGCTTTGGGGCATAATAATTTTATGGAGATGAAGTTGGAGGGACAAGAAAGTGGAGGACTGAGTCAGAAAAGGTGACTGTATACATTGGAGATCACGAGAGGGGTCAGTAGGGTTGCAGAGGCGGTTTAATTTTCGTGGATCACAAGGAAAACTTTATTGGAATCCAAATACTTTTTTAAAAAAGACTTTTGTATGACCCATCCGTCCAAGGTGTTACTGCTTCCATGAACTCAACTTAAGAGACACTCACAAGGGAGGATTCGTTGTCTATTTTCAAGTGAAAAGTACATCTTGTCTGCTTGATGAAATCTTGAAATTACTCTTTTTATTTCAGCTGATGATTTACTGTCTTTGAACTTGTCTGTTACAATTTCTTAGATTAATTCTGCACTGTAAAAGTGGTATTGTATTATAGTAGAGGCTTATAAACAAGTTATGAAAGTCATTTGAGGTTGCAAATGAAAGAGATTAGTTGTATTACCTCTTTGCTGTGATACTGTCAATCTGAACTGCTGTCAGTCTTTGGTTCTCCTATTTTGGGAATTCCCTCCTCTTGAATATTTCAATTACTGTTGAGAATATTGCTATTATTTACCAAATCGAGAATCTGCTTTATAAGCAGGAGATGACACTATTTGAGGGAGCTATGGGTTCCTACCTGCCCATACTGGCTTCCAAGTTCATTGGCATATGAACCACCCATTTATCTTTACTTTTTTTCACATGGTGATAACACGTAAGTAAAGACACTGAATTGCAAGGAAATCTGTATTTTTGTCAAACTCCATGGAGTGTCTTGTAACTGCTAAAAACGTAACCCACTTTACCTGAGGTAAGAGCCTCAATGTTTTATGTGGCAATTTAATATGCAGTAAAATAAAATTATCTTTGGGATTTCGGTGCATTGGCCTGCTTTTAATTGGTGCAGAACAACTTCAGTTGATTTCAGTGGGATTTGGAGGTGCTCAGCACTTCAGAAAATCAGGCCACCAGTATTTGGGTGCTTGAATATGGATTCTGAGCCTCCTCGTAGACACAGCAAGTAGGTGTGGATCTCAGTATGCCTCCACAACCACTGATTGTAACCATGGTTATGATGAGGGCTTAGGATAAATGCACAAGATGCCAAATGGAAATTAATCAGAAAAAGGTAACGTCGTCTAATGAAACGAAGACTTAATCCTAGTTTAAGTGGAGATT